GTGTGTGTGTGTGTGTGTGTGTGTGTGTGTGTGTGTGTCTGTCTGTGTGTGGTGTGTGTAAGAGTGTGTGTATGCGTGTGTGTGAATATTTCACTATGCATTGGAGACAAAAGTGTCCCCAGAAATGAGTTAAATCTGACAAAACTTCCATCTGGGGACATTGTTATTTGTAAAAATGGTACATAAATAAAGCAGGTCTAAATAATCTTTAGTTTTATTTCGGAGATGCAGAGCTGGGTGTGGATTTGGGTCAGTATTTATTAGCTGTATATAAACTTCAGAAGTCTGTTGCATTCCCTCATTTAGATAAAGTGTCTGTACATGATAACTGATTTTTGAGTCCATTTTATGTGCCCTCAGAAGTTAAAAATGCTCATAAAATGGCCAAATTGTATTTGTATTTAAACCTTTGCTATTTAAAGCTTAAAGATCAATAGCACTTCAAACTCAACGACACACTATAGTAAATACTAATATATAACAGTGCTGGGAAGATTATTTACAAACTGCAGTCTGTTACTGATAACAAACTATGATGATAACTGTAGTCAGTAATGTAATCTAGATTACTCATTTAAGTAATGTATTCTGACTACTTTGGGATTACTTTTAGATTACTTTTGACATAACTTGCTTATAGATTTTAATGGGTTATTGTTGTAAAAATAATAATAATAATAAAAATAAAAGGGAGATATTAAAGATATTAAAGGTTTTCCATTCTTTATCAACATCAGTACATACTTTAAACATTACATTACTTCAGGGTTTCCTAAACTGGGGTAAATGAAAGAACTGCAGGGGGTTTATTTTGATGAAAATCTATTAATTAATTAAATCATACAAATATCAAATTAAAATGAATAAATGACATTTTTACTTTTTTTTTTTTTTTACCTTGATGTCAATGTGACAATTAACTGACTCCAGAGAACTGTGAACATGCAAATGTCTCATTAAATGGTGGAAATATTAACTTTAAATCTCAGGGACTTCAAGTAAATATTTAGGTCATAAATATCTTTGCGTCGGGCGGTTCTTTGCCTCCACGTCGTGCATTTAAAATCCTTTAATGTACAGCTAGCCGTTGCTTATCCCTTACATAATCCACAACAAAAATTAACTGTTATCTGAATATAATCTAATTACAAGTACTACAGTTTGTACTCTAAATATGTAATCCAGATTACATGTAATCAGTTACTACCCAGCAATGTATACTACCAAGAAATACTACTTACAAATTGTAATCTGTAAATGATTCCAAATTACATGACAAAAATTGTAGTTAGTAACGTAATCCATTACATTACACATTTCAGGTAATATAATCAGACTACTTTTAGATTACTTTTGACCTATCTCATTTATCACATTGATTTGGACAGGATAATCTTGTATCATATTGATATAAAGATACAAAGAGTAAGAAAATATATGCCATTTGTTTTTATTAACAACATTATATTATGTCAATGTTTCC